CATATTTGCACCAAATATGATTCAAAACAAAATTAAGAAAAAAAATTAAAATATTTTTCACGCATTCGCAGAATGGCAGAATTGTTTTATATGCTCAATTTTAAATGATTTTTTCTTAAATTTTAAAATTATATTTTTGTTATCAATCAAAAAATACTCAAAAAATTTGTTTAATTTTATTGAATATTTCTGAAGTATTAGTGAAAAACGTAAGGCAAAAAAATTTAGTTTTTTTTTATAAAAAAAAATGTCTATTACTCCATGAATATTTAAGTTAGGCTTACGAAATTTTATGCACTAATTGCATATAACTAAAGCAATCGATGCAAGTTACAAGCTTATTTCGATATTTTTTGGAATAGGGTGTTCAAAAGTAGGTAATTTATTACTGGTCCCTCAAACCTTTGAAAGCTTTAATTTAAACTTTATTGACATGTATGAAAAATCGCATGAACTAAACATATCTATAATTAAAAAATAATTGTCTAAGTAATTTTGGAGAAAGATAAAAAAAAAAATGAGCTGTTATAGAAGTGTTTACATTATTTTGTCCAACCCCAGTATTTGTTTATTTTAAATATACAGCTTATAGGATAACTTCTTTTTATTTTCTTAATGACAAATTCAAATGAAGGGGTGTTATTTTTTTTTCTTTTGTTATTCACTCCATTTTTTTAAACTATTAACTTAACTTGGTACTAATTTTAATTTTTTTTTTATCTAAAATTATACAGTTTTTGTCGATTATTAATAATTTATAAAAAAAACGGTACACAAATTCATTTATAACATATAAGCAAATTTTTATTATAAACAAACCATTTTTTTCGAAATTTTCTTAACTTGATACAAATTTAAATTTTTTGTCTAAAATTATAATTATTTTTTTTATCTGTAATTAATAATTCATATTGCAAAAAAATGCACAAGTTCATTAATTAAAATTAAAAATATTTTTACTCTTTTTTTTAATTTAAGTAATTAAAAATAATGAATAATTGTTAAAAATAATTTTTGTGTTGAATTTCTGTGTGCACGAGTTTTATAAATAGGTGAAGATATTATAAGTTTTATTTCAGTGACGTGGTGAATTCGAAATGTAATAATTATATTAATTTTTGTAGCTAAGCGATAAATCGCTTAACTCATTTCGGGCACTTCGGGATTGTTTCCCGCCATTTCATGTTATTCAGCGGAAACTAAGATTGACAAGTAAAGTAAATCTCCCGTCATTGTTAAGAGTTCAGGAACTTATCAGGGACATTGTTAAGAGTTCAGGGACTTACCAGGGACATTGTTAAGAGTTTAGGGACATTGTTAAGAGTACAGGGATACTTCCGACCAATTTTTACTATTGGAACTTTATATTTTCCAGATTATATCTTGAACTTGGAGTCTCCGCTTATTATAAGTTAAATATTTTAACTAAAACAAAATAAAACTGTTAGCTGAACTATTCGGAGGCACCAATAATTGTCAGTCAAACCCATTTGTTCCAGACATAAGCCGAACAAAACTTCTATTGGCGCCAATGCATATACTTTTAACTTCAAACATTACCCATTTTTTTTTCTTCAACATTGCTTAATCAATACTTTTAACATAAATGCCATTAGAACCATCATAAGGAACAACTCATAATTAAAATTTCAAGGATCATAATTTATAGGGTTCAGTAACCATAATCTGCCTGGGGATGCCAGAAAGCCCCTTTACGGTAATCTTCTTTACTCCCCGACCGTTGTAAGCTGCATTAATCAAGGATTAAAATAGCTCCACCAAAAGCAATTAACCACAATAAAGCTGAACCGATATAAGAAGTCAATTCTAATGATACTAGAATGAAGAGAACAGCAAATCGATGAATCTGCCTAACCCAAAATTAAAAAAAAGTTCTTTATGGAAAAGTGATACATGTCCATCTCAGCTTTTCTACGGATTAATAAATAATCCTACTTTAGGGTCCCTGTAGACTGGTTATAAATAAGAAACTAATTTTTCAATTGTTTCTGTTTGCGGAGTCCATTCGTATGCTAATTATCCTCTTTCTGTCTAAAATTACGTGTCTGGAAATGGTAAAACTTTCGCTGTGCATGAATAAATGTTTATTACCCTAGAGACAACAAGATTAGAAGTGTCTGGAGCGAGCTGTCATTCTTAAAAATTAAAAGTGATTTTCCGCTTGTTGCTATGGTTATTTATTCTTCTGATTCCGCATTTTGGAAAAGAAGAATATTAAATTATATTCTATCTAGGGTAAACTAACCAGTGAGGGAACACTTAAGCTTCGCTTGCCTTTTAAAAAATCATATTAATATCAAAATTCGTAATTTTAGTTAAATGACAATGTCAATATATTTGTTAATAATTGCAAATTATGTAAAAAAATTGTAGAGATCTTACATAATATTGTTTTAAAGTTTTGGAGGTTCAAATAACAAGTAGTAAGAAGACTAAGTGAAGGAACAGCTCTTACCAGTGAATGAACAACCAGTAAAGGAACACTTAATTTTGGTTATTTTTTAATGCTCTTTATAAATTTATAAGCCATACAAATATTTAAAAACAAGCCTATTCTTGAAATTATAACATATAAATAATTGGAAAATGTTAACTTTTTTTTGTAATCATGAATTGAAAATTAAAGTGTCAACATATTAACACATACTGTTCATTCACTGGGAAATCTATGCCCAGTAAAGGAACATGCCTGTTCCCTCACTGGTTAGAAGTTGTTTTTCGTATTTTCAACATACTTTTGATGCGGATCATCACTAAAGGTACAAAAAAAAAATTAAAGTTCATCTTTTATTTTCATTAACTTAGAAAAAAACTCAGTATCCTTCACTGGTTTTTCATCGTTTGGTGGTCCAATGAATAAACACCCCTTTATCTCAGTACTTTATTATGTTATGATGCTTAAGAAAAATAAAACGTAACTTCAATAACAATATTTTGAATTCTCTTTTTCACAGTGAGAAAAATAAAACTATTACATACAATTAATTCCACTTCAAACATATAAATACAAACACTCACCTTATAATTTTTTCAAAGAAACAAGGTGTTGCAGAGATAATAAACAAATTCAAAAAATTTTCCAGAGAAGTATATTTGACCAGGTAGTCCAAAACATTGCTAGATGACTTCCTATTGTTTGGCAGTAAGCTATTGTTACCAATCAATCTAAAGAAAAAATTTCAAATTCTTATTTTTAATCAATATATATCAAATGTTCCTTCACTGGTTGGTTTACCCTACCCATATTGAAAATTTAGGCTTTATATTTTTAAATTTAATTTTAAAAAATCCTTATAGTTTAATACAGATTAAAATTAGTTTTATATTTTTAATGACTTATTAGTTTAAAAGATTTCATCAACTTTTACCTAACCTCTTCAATCTCGCTCCCGTCAAAATCACGTGGGGAGCTTTCGTCTCCCATTTTACGTGTCCGTGTTATTTCCGAGCTAGAGCGTTAAGAAATATAATGCATCTATTAGGTTTATCTATCTCTTGTGCCCTGATTTTTTTTACTTCTTATTTTACACACTAGATTGCTATACCAGACAATTTTTAATGTAACTAGAGATTATTTTAAACTAGAAGTGAGCACTACCCAAACATATGCATTTGCGATATGTATTTCGGACTTTAAGCTCAGCAACTTACATTCTTTGTATGTAAAATATTTTTTGATATTGCGTACATTATGGAGTCAGAGTTACATGGACATATTAGGGTACAAATGGAGTTTCAAATTTCAGGCTAAAAAAAACTCCCAAAAATCAAAAATGAATACATATTTTGTACACACACATTTTTTTTATATAATTTTCTTGAAGAAAAAAAAGTAGGCACTTTTATGACCGTTTTCTTGTAAATAATAAGATCGTTAAGGGGTTAAGCTTTTAGTACACTGCGAAAAAATCCGGATCAATTAATTAAGTAATACCGCCACCTTGGGTGAAAATCCATCATACGGAACAAAAAATCTGCATCGTAATTTCGACAGTAATTACCGTAAAATCACTGTAATCAAACAAACATCACTGTGAAATTGACGGTATAATATTTAACGGTAAAAAGGGATTTTATGGTAAAATAGATTTTATGGATCATACAACCAATGTGCAAGTGCCTAATAACTTTAACAATTTGATCTGGCATTTTTTACAGTGTATCATATATTAGTATTATATAGTTCTAAAATAAAATAAATCGTGTTTGGAAAATGGGATTTTTTAAAATGAGGTATTTTAATATTTTTTTAAAAATAAAGCTATTAAGTCACTATGAAAATTATATAAAAAAATGGTGATAAATAGTGGGCGCATCCAGTTACTAATGATAATGCTCTAAAATTTGAAAAACGTTTAACAAGTAGATCTAATTAGATTTCTTTTAATTAGCTTGGATGGTTAATATTTGTTTTAGGATATTGGAAAATTTGTAAAATTAAATTAGCAGAGATTAACAATACTTCTTCTTCTTCTTTGTCAGCGCAACAGCCCCTTGCAGGCCTTGACTCCCTCAACAGCAGACAAACGCCAGCGCCTCCTATCCATGGCAACTCCCTTTCAATTTCTTATCTTTAGGGTTTTTAGCAATACTTACAGAGATTAAAAACTTAGATGCAAATAAGAAAAATGAAATCGTTAAATTTAATCTACATGCAATAACCAAAATTAGCACTCTAAATAAGTAAAATTTAAATAAAACACAACAGTTATAGCTTCGTTTGCAATTAAATAAGTCAATAAATGTATGACATAGAGTATTGAGAAAATTCCTTTATTTTACTAAATACAACCAAAAAAGAAAAACTGCTTTTTTTTGCAAAATTGAAAATATAGAACTAAAAACTTTATTTTTCTTTTTTAAACGGACTTTTTCATATTTGAAAATAATTTTTTTTTTCCAGTGTAAATTTTCATTAAAATTCAGTTACTAAAAATTAACTTTCAGTTTTTTTTTAACAAATCATTTCTTTATTCCAGTAACGATTCGGGGAGAATTCAGTGCTTTTATGCTCCAAGTTCGAAAGATTGGCGCTGATGAGCGAAGAGGAGTTGACAAACCAGCACGAGTAGGAGAATTCGTCAGCTATCCTCCATCTATTCAACCTGTTATGTGTGATAAAGATGAGAAAACAGCCATAACAAATAAGAATTTTTCGCCAAAATCCCATGTCAGCGTCACATGGAGAGCTCCTAAGGAGGATGTTGGAGATATACATATCGTGTAAGTATCATATTGCAATTTTTATAAGTAATTGCCTTTGGCGACCAGCTTGGTTACTTTTTAAAATACGAAACTGTATTTAAATATTTTATTTCTTCAATATCTCCTCAAATCCTAACACCATAATTACTTTTAAACAATATACACCGAATAGCTATTACATTATGACCACCCTGCTAATAACATGTAGGACCACCCTTAGCCTTCAAAACTTCAAACACCCGCAGTGGCATTGATTCCACAAGGTGCTGATAGGTAGTCTGAGGTATCTGGTACCAAGTGCTCACCAATTGGTCCTGCAATTCCCTCACATTGCGAGGGGGTAGCGTGGCAGCACGAATTTGGTTTTCCAAGTAGAACTACGAATGCTCTATTGGATTAAGGTCAGGTGAATTTGGGGGCCAAGACATGACTTGAAAGTCACTGGAATGTTCCTCGAACCAATCCATGACGATTCGACACTTATGACATGGTGCATTATCCTGTTGGTAAATACCATCCCCCGCAGGAAAAACTGTTGCCATGAATGGGGGAACCTGGTCTGCAACTATGTTCAAGTAGCTTACAGACGTCAGGGATTGTTCTATGAGGATTATGGGTCCTAATGTGCCCTATGAATACATTGTTCCTCGGCGAGAAACCATGAAAACCTGGGCGAGCCCATTGTTATAGATGGAGGGTGGTCATAATGTAATGGCTCTTCGGTGTATTATCCAATTTTTTTCACAGTCCAGCTGTTGTTAGAGCAGAAGTACTTTGATTTTAATTTTCACTTTGTTTTTAATTTTCAGTATAATTTAAGTTCTTTACGTATTGAAATTTAGTAATAATTTAAAATCTCTTCAGCCATAAATCACATAAACCACCGTAAGTACGAGTTCAGGATGTTTCAATATATTCAATAATTGGTATGACAGTATGCGGCACTATAGCGCCGTTTATTTCTGCAGCCATTTTAGAAAAGGGTTAAAAAATAAATCTAAATAATTGCTTCGAAACTAAGTTTTTATTTCTGTAAAAATACAAAATTATTCAAAATAAATACTTTACCTATAATTAACTATCCTATGCTGCTTAGATTATTACTTACTATAACCTAACAAAAGGAATAATAACTAATAGTGCCGCCAATATTTAGAGAAATACTCGTTTATTGTGCCAATATATAGAGAAACAGTGAGAAACAGCCAATATATAGAAAAACAGGTTGTGAGTTCGATCCCAGCCGGCCGAAGACTTCCCGTGTAGTAAATGGTGACTAATGCTCTTTAAATCTATTGGGTCACAAAGTCCTCCATGTTGACATAACCTCTTGGTGTATATAATTATAGATTGATCGTTCTTTGATCCAGGTCAAAAATACGATCTGCGGATGAATGAATGAATGGATGTACGAACGAATCCGCCCTATAAACGAGCTGTGTGTGTGGCTGAAATCGTATTCTTGACCAATTAGACGGTGCCTGAAAAACAAGAAACGCACCTTCTGCCTTAATTTTGCTTGGCTTTCACCAAGCAGGCTTGCTGGCATTGGCAAGGGGCATTAGAAACAACAACAGTAAACAACTAAAATTTTATCCGTGTCAATCAGAGTCTTTTCATGAAATCACTTAGTCCTTGCAGCTGGGTACACAATATAGCTGAAAGGGATAATCTCTTAATCTTATGACCGACTGAACGGGGTTTGATTACCCATGTTGACACCATAATATTTCTTCCATTCCTTCAGCACACAAATAGTTTCCAGTGTCCTGAAATCTCCAATTGATGATCCTGGACTATTAGAATATGATACTGATAAATTTCTGCAGCTTATTTAAGCGCAATTTTATAATAAAAATTCCAACAGTGCAGTGGCTTTTTCTCCTTTATTATGTTTTACATTTATAAATAATTTTTTTAATAGTTGCTGTTAAAAGGTTTGAGTAATTAAAGACCTTAGTCAAAACTATTTTTGCACGTCGATCTATTCTTTTCAAATATTCTTGACACATTTTGTAACAATTTTATAAGAAACTGAAATAAAAAGAAAGTAAGAAAAAATTTAGTAAACTATATAAATTGCTTATGAAAATGTATTGTGTTGGTAGAAACTTCATGAAATTTATGACACGTCTGTTAAAAAATGATTGACTGATAACTTTGAATTTATAACTTTATATTTGGTGTAATATTGCTCTTGCAAGTCTATGGAAATATGAGAATTTTTTTTTCTAAAAAATAATATCAGTTAAATTTTTTCGACTAATAAATTCATAACATAAAATAATAAACGACTTTATAGAATAGTTTAATTTTCATGAATAAACGATCGATGACTTTACACATTTTTTTAAAAATATATTTAATGATAGTTGCATTTATAGCTTGAAATCTATAAACAATATTATAATAAACTTATCAACAAGCACTGAATAGTCATAGTCATATTCTAATAAGCGGTACCATGAGTTTGATAAAGAACTGACTTTTTAAATAATTTGAAACATCCATTGTTTTAATAACGAATTATAAAAGTTTTATTAACAATATTATAATAAACGTATCAACAAACACTGAATAGTCATAGTCATGTATTCTTATAAGTGGTGTCATGTGTTTGACAAAGAACTGACTTTTTAAATAATTTGAAACATCCATTGTTTTAATTACGAATTATAAAAGTTCTATTAACAATATCGTAATAAACTTATCAACAAACACTGAATAGTCATAGTCATGTATTCTTATAAGTGGTGTCATGAGTTTGACAAAGAGCAGACTTTTTAAATAATTTGAAACATCCATTGTTTTAATAACGAATTATGAAAGTTTTTGAAATTTCGATTTTGTTATTTGGTTGAATAACACAGAGGCCAATGCCAGCAAATAAAGTATTTATTAAAACATAATATGCGGAAGCAATATTTTGCACACACAGTGCTATACATCTGAATCAACCAACAACCAGTCAGCTTCTTCAACAAATATATATATTGATATCCCCTATCGGGAAGTCGTATTACATTACGCAACTCGCGCAACTTAACTGAGAGGGAGAGGAAAAATGAGATTTTATTTGCATACTAACAACAGATTTGTTTCGGAAGATTATATTAGAAATGTATATACTTTGACAAAATGGCAGTTATTTGATGAAAAAATAAAAAATAAGTTTCATTTTATAGTATAAAATTTCTACTTTTAATAGCATTAGATTTAAAATTAATAATTAAAAAGGTTTCAAAAATCATCTAAAAGTATAAGTTTAACTTATACTTTTAAAGTGATTGCTTTGTTAGCATTTACGATATGCATCGGGAAAAAAAGGAATAGTATCAAGAAGCATTCAAGCTTTGAAACTTGGATAACTTAACAAGTCTGAGCGACTAAATGCTATTTTTGCGAAAAAAGATAAAACAAGGAAGATTAGACATTCTCAAGAAATGAACATTCAATTTTAACTGTAAGTAAAATGTTTCCCCCTCATATTTTAAATTATTTTTTAAATACGTTAAAATAAAATTAATGAAATAAAATGTAAGTTCCACAAATGTGATTTTAAGTAAATAACGTGTTTTTAACTCTATGATGATTACTTTTTATTGAGAGAGCACTGCTAAATATCATCAAGACAAACTATTTATGATTGATTTTTCTGTAATAGTTCTACTTACATTAAGCCTACTTAAATTCCATTATTTATTGATGTACCCTTTTAATGTATAGCATCTGATGACAAATGATCAAAAACCATTAGATTCTTGAATTTCTAAGCAAGTTTTAATGACAAAATGTCGAGTGAATCCATCGAAAGTGATATAAGAGAGCTACAAATGTCTAAAAAATGGAAGTATGATTTAGAAACCAGAACCATATTGGAAAAATCAAGTAATAGTCAAGTACAGTATTTTAATACAAAATAGAGCGCATATTGGTTTTAGTTTTTCAAAAAATTCAAAACACCCACAATGTTAAAAATTGTTAATCAAAATTGAGCAAAAATGTATCAAAACTGTTCTGAAACAAATAATAGTTGAATTTGAATAGTTGTATTCGAAATTGAAGAAGCATATATTCATTTTGCTTATATATTGAAGCATCTTGTATTCAACTCAATGCATAGTCACAAAAATATGCGGAGAAATGTTGGTTGCAAGCAAGAATCGAAAAAGGATCTCCGGGTTCGTAGTAGGATCCTTCTTACCACCATAGTTGTGTAGCAGTTAAAACTGTTCTGAAACAAATAATAGTTGAATTTTAAAACCGCATATATTCGAAATTGAAGAAGCATATATTCATTTTGAAGCTTCTTATATTCAACTCAATGCATAGTCACAAAAATATGTGGAGAGATGTTGGTTGCAAGCAGGAATCGAAAAAGGATCTTCGGGTTCATAGTAGGATGCTTCTTACCACCATAGTTGTTTACCAGTTAAAACTGTTCTAAAACAAATAATAGTTGAATTTGAAAACCCCATGTATTCGAAATTGAAGAAGCATATTCATTTTGCTTATACATTGAAGCATCGTATATTCAACTCAATGCATAGTCACAAAAATATGTGGAGAGATGTTGGTTGTAAGCAGGAATCGAAAAAGGATCTCCGGGTACGTAGTATGTTGCTTCTTACCACCATAGTTGTGTAGCAGTTAAAACTGTTCTAAAACAAATAATAGTTGAATTTGAAAACCGCATATATTCGAAATTGAAGAAGCATATATTCATTTTGCTTATATATTGAAGCTTCTTATATTCAACTCAATGCATAGTCACAAAAATATGTGGAGAGATGTTGATTGCAAGCAGGAATCGAAAAAGGATCTTCGGGTTCGTAATAGGATGCTTCTTACCACCATAGTTGTATAGCAGTTAATACTGTTCTAAAACAAATAATAGTTGAATTTGAAAACCCCATGTATTCGAAATTGAAGAAGCATATTCATTTTGCTTATACATTGAAGCATCGTATATTCAACTCAATGCATAGTCACAAAAATATGTGGAGAGATGTTGGTTGTAAGCAGGAATCGAAAAAGGATCTTCGGGTTCGTAGTAGGATGCTTCTTACCACCATAGTTGTATAGCTCAATCCAGGGACGGTTAGGAAGCTTTATATAGTGACCGTCGCTATGACACATCATGGTACACTAATTTCAAATTGCAACAGTAGAAAAGGTTACAATTTGAAAAATATGGTCCCAGTAGATTAGTAGTTTTCATTTCACTTTTTGCTTATTTCGATGCATCTTACAATTCTTTAAGGGAATGGAATGGAAGTGGGTGTAGAGTGCGTAAAACAAAAAATGGACCACCCTGAAAAATGTTTGATCTAATGATCGGATCTTCACGTCTTAGGACTCGATCTTAATGGTTTGAAGAGGTGACCTCAAATATGCTAATTAAGGGCAGGCTACATTTTAAGTTATGAAATCAGACACAAAAACGTACTTTCCCTGAATAAACATTATTTTTTGTCTACGTATTCGGATTTCTGAACTCCAAAATATAAGAGGTAGCCGCAATCTGAGAAATATAGTCCCCATAGTTTGGTCAGGAGAGCGATCCAAAGTTTGGACCCCTTATAATGTTAATTTATTTTTTGCGTATTTTGCCATATCCAGAGAACTTCTTAAGCGAATCGAAAAACTTTTAAAGACAATTACAAAATTCGTTTATCAAAAGATAATTCCACACACAAAAAAATTTTTTTTAGTGAATATTTATTATTTTTAGAATAAGTCCTAGAAAATGAAGATCCGATCATTGGATCAAAATTATTCAGGATGGTCCGTTCCTAGTTGTGCAGCATCCTAAAGTTATTCAGTATCCTACTACGAATCTGGAAGTCCTCGGTTCGAAATCTACCGGCAGCCAATAAACATGTCTCTCACTCATTTATCCCTACACATCACTTTTGAGATTTGCTCTATGATTCTTCTTTAAAATTACATTTTTTAAAAAAATTTATAGCTGAAATTCCTTCTATATATCTCGCTTTTTCCACCATGAAGACCAATAGCTAAACCCATAAAAACTTTGCTAACTAGAGCTTCATCAATATATTCAGAATCTAAATATTGGCAATCGTTTATAAGTTGTCGCCTTTAATCTAAATTTTCCAGCTGTGTAGATTTTGACAAATTTTCATTATTTCTTTCTCAAAAATGTCCAGCAATGTCCATTACCTAACGAAAAGCCTAACATAACTCCAATTTTCAGTTAAATTTCATTTTTAAGTTTTAAACCATGCTAGTTGTAAATGGTTATAAAACCTTACAGTTTGGTAATCACGGTTTCTTAACCATACCAGTTATAAATGGTTTCAAACCCGTAAAGATAAAGGATTGTTCTTAACACGTAAACTTTAAGGTTAATTGGATGAACAGACTGTTGCAGTTTATTTTACCGTAATTTTAGAATGAAACTTCTAACAGTGAATTCATATAATTAATTGAGGACTTCGTTGGTTCTCCATTCGTATGGAGTATTAAATTATTGATTTCACTTGTCTTGACGTTTTTACTTGCTATGGTGTTTTAAAAGATAATTTTGGTATTTATTATTAGATGTTTGAGCATTTTCTTTCCGAAATTTCTGCGCTGACCATTCTGATATTTAAAAGTTAAGCAATAGTAAAAATTAGTTACGTCTTTTTAAACAGTTAACATTTTTATCAAGATTTTTTTTTTAAATTGTCCCTAATTCTGTGGATTTTCAAAAAATGTTGAACTGTTACAAAATATTATCATAATAAAAAAAAAAAAAAGCAATGATCGTAGTTAGAATTTTTTTTAAAAATTTTCGTGGAATAATAACAAAATATTAGTTAAATTTTGCAATCTGTTTAAAAGAATAACATAAGTATAAGCATCCTTTATTGATATAAATATAAAATATTTCTTCTTCTCTAAACAAAGTTGTATTTAGTTTCGTTGATGCATCAAAAGATTTCTCTTAAAACGCTTTGCCATTTTTTTTTTAAAGTTTTGTCAGTCAAAATTCCTGCGTCTTGCAGTTCTGACAAGAAATACATTTCCTTATCGACGTCATTTTTAAGACTTATTTATCCGAAATAAATTTAATGTCTTGTGAATTCACTTCACATTATTTTTTTTAACTCTAACATTATTATATTTGTTTTCAGAGCTCGGTTTATTTCTGAAGAAGAATATTGGCAAATAACAGAAAGTCGAGAAATTCCGATGAATGAATTCCGTAAGTGAAATTGTTCTCTGATTATAAAATTCTTTCAAGTTAATTGAATTTTAATGGAATATTTGAGTGAAATATTTTTAAAGATTATTCTTCTACGTATTTTAACTTTATGCACTTTCAAAAGCGTTTGACTAGAATTAATTTATGATTTGCATATGAATAGAATAGCGATTTAAAGTTTAAGTGGAGTTTTTTGATAACCGGCACAACATTGCAGGCTAGATAATTACTTAATTTTTCAAACAAATGGATAGAACGATTTATGATTTTATTATGTACATATATGTTTATTATTTAAATATTATAAGTCTACTAAGTTTTTATTTAATAAAATGCTTGCCGTACTTTTAAAATTTAAAGTTCCATTCAAAAATTACTTCGATCACGAATTAGTGTAAAATTATATTTTTAAAAAAAATGTTAGAAAAGTCTTTTATTGAAGTAATCTTAAATGAGTCGCAAATCTTTTTTTAATTTTTAATTTTATTTTCTACATTTGATACACAGAGAAAAAAAGTATGATCAACACTACCAGAATATGGTTCTATGGAAACACCAAAGAGCTCGGTATACTTTACAGAAACACTTTGGTAACGAGTTTTGTAAAATTAACAATAAAATATGGTTTTATAACGTATGATGAAATTCGGTAAATGTGGTAAAATTTGTTAATTTTGCAATGATACCTTAGAGCATGGCATAAAAACCATTAAGTTAAATTTACATTTCAGTTTTGTATTTTTTTCTAAATGTGTGGTACTAAGAACTATAGTTTTGAAAACCAGAATTTTCAGTAAACTGTTATCATATGAATGGAAAAAATACCAAATGAATTGTTTAAATACCGTATATTTAGGTTTTTCTACACCGTGGAATTTAATAATAAATTGAAATATTGTTATTAGTGTCTTTAAATAAATTAAAATATATTATTTCAGATTTGGAAAAAAACTTTGATCGAAAATATAAGTTTTCAAACTGATTAACAATTTAACATAATTTCTCAATTTTTTAGTTTCACATTTCAGTTTTATTCCGTCTTTAACGCGTTTTAAATCAATCTAAAACAGCCTTATTATCACCATAACGTGTTTTCCTAGAAAATATAATTAATGAAAATTTCGTTACAAGGTGTAACACACAAGGAAGTGTTGGAAATAAGTATTCAAATAAAATATTCTGCTGGTAAAGCTTTAACTTGCAGTATAATTTGTAACAATCTCACGAAATTTGTTTGAATTTCATATTTTTCTTTCACCCTCTTTTAACAACGTATCCATCATAATATGTAAAATATTAGATTAGCATATATTACGTTAGAATAATATAAACGTCTATTAATCAAAGTCTATTTAAAAATTCAGTTAGCAATTGTTATTCTTTATGCATTGCCTTACTCTTAATGCGATTTAAAATTTAGGGTGCTAGTGGTAATCACTTATTTAAATGCAATGTTAATTCTTTTGTCGGTTCGGGAATTCTTCCCATCGTTTCTATAAAAATATTGGAATAGTTAATTATTAGATATGAATTTAAAGAGTAACTGTTTTATTTATTTTTGTAAATATCTCGAAATCACACAACAATAAACAAACATAAAGTTATTAATAATGATTTATAAATAATTGAACCAATTGAACTATTATGTATTGCGTATGATTAAGATAAAAATCTGACAACAACTCTATGCTACACTGTGTAATATGTATGAACATTCAATAATAATTAAATTATGTCATATATTCGAAAACTGTATAAAATTTTCGAATTTTTTGAATCCTAGAAATTAATTATTGGTGAAAAAATGTAAACTATTGGATTGTGAATTACCCCCATGTATTTAATTCATAAGCTAATTCATAAGTACAATCGTTTCTACGTGAAATTAAAACGTGAGTACCTTGAATCATAAAATGGCGCAAGTTTGCAGAGTTTTTTTTTTGTTCGAAGTTAATCATAGTATCGTTTGTTATATGTGCTCCAAAATTTCGTACTATGCATTTAAATGCATGAAATTTTAATCATGCAAGAGGAATAACATTTGGTTAGAGAATTACAAAGTCTTATTACATAGTCTTAATAATCCTATCAGACCCGAGGAAATATTTCAATTTAAGGGGAGGAGGCTCTCTGTATTATCGATGCACACAGCCATAAATGTTATTAAAAAAAGTTAGTTTAAGTTAAAGTTAGAAAGAACAGATAAACCCGTGAACTAAAAATTAAAAAATGAGTTTGAAAAGTAAAGAAGAATGTGCGGAACATTTATTAAGTAACGATATTGGGGTAAAAAGTATTAAGTTAGAAAAAACAGGTAAACCTGTGAACTAAAAAATTAAAGAATCAGTTTGAAAAGTAAAGAAGAATGTGCAGAACATTTATTAAGTAACGATATTGGGGTAAAAAGTATAAAGTTAGAAAAAACAGATAAACCGGTGAACTAAAAAATTAAAGAAGGAGTTTGAAAAATAAAGAAGAATGTGCAGAACATTTATTAAGGTACGACGTTGGGGTAAAAAGTATTAAGTTAGAAAAAAAAAAGTAAATCTGTGAACTGAAAAAAAATTAAAGAATGAAAAAAATTAAAGAATGATTTTGAAAAGTAAAGAAGAATGTGCAGAACATTTATTAAGTAACGATATTGCGGTAAAAAGTATTAAGATTAATACTATATAGTAATTTATATAAAGTTTTAAAGCTTTTAATTAGCGGCATCACTTCACTTATAAATCAACTTGTAAAAGTATGTTCAGATTATCTTGGGATAAGGAAATGTTGGTAACAGATGGTTTCAATCAAAAGGATTATACACTGCTACAATAAAACTATTAATATAAATATGAAAAGCAATAAGCATTAATGCAAATATGAAACATACAAACTTCAGTTTAGTTGAAGAAGTAGAATATTATCAAATTAAATTTTGATTAAAATTCTTCTAGAAGGGAAAAGTTCGTCGTTTGGTGAGGTTTTGTCTTAAATGTTCCTGGTATCCCTTAGTTACGGACTTTAATTACATTCTTAGCTGTTTCGTAAAAAAAAAAAATAATAATAATAATAGTAATAATAAACAAATAAATATGAATAAAAAATAAAAGAAAAAGGGAAAATCCTCAATAAACCGTTAAAAAAATCTCTAAAAAGCTATATTATTAGCTCTGCATTAATTAACTCTACTTAAATTTTTAAATACTTTATGGATATAAAGTTTTTCGTTTAATTTGGTTAATTTTATTTTGGAGTAATTTTTTAATGTTTTTTTTTTTAAATTTTATTTCAGTACTAGTAATATTCTTTGTCATGTATTTTTAAGTGCACAAGAATTTATGAAATAAAAATGTGTTTCGTTTGTTTGAAATAGCTGTCAACCTAAAGAATTGTGGGAAAGCGAAATCTTGCATATTGTATTCTGAGAAAAGTGCTTCTTGCCATGAAGACAACTGCGATTACATTTTAACTTACAGCGTAATAAATAGCACCAGCGTTGAATTTGTTCTTGGTGGATCAGCCAAAGATCAAAACTACTTAGCTGTTGGGTTTTCTACAACTCCAGAAGTAAATATTCTTTTATTTATTTATCAATTTACACTAAATTTTAAGAAGCGAAAACAAATCTTTATCATTGGAATTTTAAATTTTTTTTCCTGGTTGATGATAAATAGTATATAGCGCACTATGAAAGTCTTCAAGGTAACCATTTTCTAGAAAAATTTCACTTCCTTACTATCAATAACTAAAATACTTGTAACAATGTAAAGATAAGCCACATTTTCAAATAACTAAGTAAAATAAATAAAACTTATGGAAATTTCAGTGAGAAATTTTTCAACAATTTCAGAGCGATGAAAAGATGCTTTTATTGCCATCTAGTGAAAATTACTAAGCTTTGTAAAACATTGATCTGTAAACAATACTAAGCAACAGTTTGGTTTAAAAAAATATCAAGACAAGAGCACGAGTACAACTTAGTATTCACAAGTAGGACGAGTCTCTGTGCAGAGGCTGCAACACAGTACTGGTTACTTTTCATTAGAAGCAACACTACTCTGCCCTATCCTTGACACTAAAAAATGTTTATCTGTAAACCACAAAAATGTGGGTGCAGATCAGGAATCATATATTTAAGTTAGAATATTTTTCAAACTCGAACCTAATCACTAATGTCGAGTTCAATAAAAGTGAAGGAAGTATTAAAATTATTTAAATCCAGTTTATTTGAGAATGGAAGTTGAAAGTGGTATCTATCAAGAGGTAAATGTGTTTCATCCTCACTGGACAAATGGACGGCCTGTTTATTATTTTTATCAGCTTTTTTCTCTTTCCTCAAAGCGAAAGCAACATTTAAGGTGTGGTATCAAGTCAAGTTGCCGACAACACTCCTATCGATCAGGCTACTTTTTTTTTATAGCCGTCGTTGAATGCCGACCCAATTTTTTAGGGCTTACGGCTACTAACTTTGAACTCCGTAGTCTTGTAATGTTGAACCCAATCCAGAAGACAATTGAACTCCTGGATCAAGTATTGGGAGAAATTTGCCTTCGTGGAGGACTTTTTGATGGAACTAACCAGCATTTTGCTTTACATGGAGAGCAGAACAACGGAAATCTCAAATGGTTAGTCTGACGTCAAGGGCCTCTAATACATGGTCTGTCTATCACTGAGGATATTTTACGTCGGCACTGTGGTCGGTGCAAGCCGGATACGGAATTCGTATTGACCAGCCATTGCTGGGATTCGAACCCAGTTGGCCTCATATGAATGCGAACTCTCTATCCCCTGTGCCATCATGGTTCCGGTCAGACTACCTTGGTCGAATTGGCTGAAGCAACAAACGTGGCTGGCAATTGGAGGTAGGAGCCGTGCCAACACGGTAGGCGTGGTTGGATCGGTATCGGGCCAAAATACGATCACGAATTTCTATCGAGCGATACTATTGTTCACATGCCTAAATAATATCGGTGTTTCCTAGTTTCACTGCCCATATACATTTCCCCCATAGCTACTCGTTACAAAAATGATGCCTGTTTATATTGCGCCTTTTATTGTCCCTATTATATAGTCTTTTTCCGTTTTACATACACCGCCTCGTTTCAAATATCATGCCTGTTCATATTGATCCAAAGATATATGTTTATGACCGACCGAACTGTTTAGTGGTCAGGGAATTGACATCGCATCAAAAAGGTCTTAGGTTCGAATCCCGGACAAGGCATAGATGCTCTTTTGCATTCTCTTTGTTATATATCCTTCCTTACCGTGGGAGCAACGTGTTGGTCCATAATATGTATATTTCAAAATAATCTTTTTTAAATTGTGTTAAAGCGTAATAGCGTTTTTCCTTTTCAAACAATAATTATAGTTTTCAATGCAATCCTAAAAAATTATGTTCGTTCTACACAAACTAATTCCGATCAGTATGACAACTGTAGCGTATCTACCACTACAAAATTACAACTACAATTCACTAGTATATAAGACATGTTAATTTGACTCTATGTTGGGGTACCTTTTCATAGATGACGGTTGACATGGTCTGTAACTACTCTCCCCACATTGGTGACCTTCGGACGTAATGTGAACACACCTACCTCGGCAGTAACGCCCACTTCGATATGAACACGCCTACCTAGACAATAACGCCTACTTCGATGGATGATCCACATTGAACAGTTGACTTGCTACTTGTTACTGCGCCATTATCCACCTCCTCGCACTGTTGATACTCAGTCTCGTCTCGATCACGCACAACGTCGGCCTGCATACTTATGATTACTCGACTGCTAACGGCAACAGAGGAGCGACTACGAGCGTGAAGTTAATACACCTCTCACATTCAGCACTCAAAAAATACGGTGATCTTAATACAGCTCTCCCGGCTTCTCACAAAACAGCAATGA